GACATTACTGTATAACGTGCGCAAATTTCTGACAAAATGACCGCTCCGAATTCGATGATTCGTTAACGATCGTCCCACGTTCGCGCGACTCCTTTGATCTTCCTTCGGCCATGGACACGTTTGCGCCTCGTGGTGTTTCCTTTTTTTGGTGGCCGGATTGTCGAATTCCCCGGCTCGTAGACCCGAGTTTTCTGGCCGACGGCGACGCGTTACGTGCAATAACGTTCGAAGAAACGGCAGCGAAACGGCAGCGCGATACGGCCGCGGTTTTGTTTGTCTCCGTACGTAGAAGTATGTACCTTTCTCCAAAGCAAGTCACGCGCGAGTTCCGCGCGTTCTTACGCACTTGCGTAATGCGTAATCGCCGGACGACGCGAAAAAAAGAGGGTTATCCGCCTCAGTGCCGTACGCCGCCGCCTTTCTCCCCTTCCCCGGGGCCGATCTATCGATCGGACGGCCGCGTGAGAGCGGCCGGCCGGGTGCTCGATCATCGTTTTTTGGTTTTCGATGACAAGTTTTTCGTGCTTCGAATGGGCCGCACGAAAATTTCGTGGAGGATCGCGCCGATCGTCTCGATCGTTTCACCGGGACCACCACCGATCACGCCGGGCCGGGCTCTCGATCTCAAACCAATGAGGCAATCGGTCGCGTAGATTTCGATTATTAACACGTTCCGTGCCGAGCTTTTTTTAGTCGAATCTTCGCACTTTGATATTTTACTAAAACTTGATGTATTACGAGCAATTATTAATTCTCGTACACATAACAACGTAACAAAAACTTATCAACGCCCATTCTTGCGGTGGAAATTGATTCTTCGGTTTTAAATTTCTTGTAAACAATTTGTTCAGTTCACTAAGTAAACATGCAAGCGTGTACCATCGATGGTACACGTGGCACGGAACGTGTTAATTAAGTTTTTAAAGATCGGCAGCGCGGCGAAGCGACGAAGTTGTTGAAAGAACTAATGATAGATACGAGCTAAAGCGATTTTTTTCTACGTTAAAGATGAAACGTTGCAGAATCGGAGAAAAATAGAGATTTATTTTGTAACCTTGAAAATTTATATCAATCTTGAAGTATACTCTAAATTATGATTTATACCGTACCAAGTATAGAGTTAGATTTTTTTCATGACACGTTATAGATCATGTTTCGTAGATTTTGACACGCTGATCTTAAAATTGATCTTAATCTAAAAAAAAATTGTGATCTAAATCTCGTAAAATTGATCTACCTGTTCAAGATTTCGAAAAAAATCGATTTAAGTGAAAAGCTAACTAAATCGTGATTTGTTCGTCGAGCGATGATTTTTTTCGAAATCCTGAAATGATGGATCAATTATGCGAACGGATTTAAAATCGGCATGCCAATATCTACGAGAATTGACGTATAACGTGTTATAAAAAAAATCTAACTGGCATTGGATAAATCGCAATTTAAGAGATTTCGAGATTAATATGAATTTTCAAGATTAAAAAATGCTCGTACTACATTCTCTCTATTTTTCCCTTATTCTGGAACATTTCAGCTTCAAAAACAGATCATCGATTTATCGGATTTCTATGAAAAGTTCTTCGATTCTATCATAACTTCGTCGCTTCATCTGGCGGCCAATGGCCGGCGTTTCGAAATTCCTCTGTTTCCTCGGGTCTCTGGCGACGACGATTCCAGCAGACTCGATGACAGCGGGTCCCGGACTTCTTCTTTGGCGAACGATGCTTAATGGCGCATCGGGGACCGCGCATAATTTCAAATTCACGGCCCCGCGGCTCGAAGGCTTGAACACCTCGGCCTCTGGAAATATGTGACGCGCGCCGCCGCGAATATTTCACCTGTAATCGCCGGCCACGAAGATTTGTTTGTCCCTAGCACACGCGTTATGACCGACCTACGCTTCCCATTCGCCGATGTTCCCAGTACCGCAACGATAAAGTCGCAAACGTATTCCGAAACATATTTCATCCGCGCACGCCCCCTCGACGTTTTCTGGGAACAGCCGATCGAAATCTGGCGAACCTGTTCCCGACGCGGTTTTCTGCGGTTTCGTTTCGGACCAGCAATTACGTACTTTGTTCGGAGACACGCGTACGTCTAGTCCACTTATAAGTCGTGTACGTGTAATTAAAAAGTGCAGGTGGCATAGGAAAAAACGTAAAACTCTTTTCGAAGTGAAACGATTCAGTGCAATTTTGCTCACCTAACGTTTCTCTTGAAAAAGTGTATTGCTCTGTTGCTCTAAAAAAAAAACAGCAAGACACAGTGAGATCGTTATCTAGAAAAAAGACAAAAAATAATTATAATTAGTATTGCTAATTTTGTGGATGCACGTAAGGAACGGTAAAGTTAATCGTTAGACCGCGGATTTGTTGCATTCATGGTACATAGAGGAGTTTGTAAATTGCAGATAAAGATTCATGTTAACAAAAATTAATTGTGTTGTAATTTCATATTCATCGCGACAGATTGTCTAGTTTATGTACGAACTTTATTCCTTCTTCAGATTTTAATATAACAATTGATGCAGAAATGAGCACTTGCATAGAAAACTGCAGTCTTTTAATACTAGGTTAACGGAACCCGTTGAAACGGCGGGTAATAGTATACAATTATTCGGATTGTAAAGATACATTTACGAGTTATTTATTCAGCACGCATGTTGCGACAGATATTACAATAACACTCGTTAAAAAACGAGAATAAATGACTTATTGTTACTCTTGGAAACTAATGCAATCCAATTGTAAAAGATATCAAATTAATCACCAAATAAATTACTACTCAAAATAGATCAAGACTGTACCCCTTTTCATTGTTCAAAGAATTACGGAAGATTTTAAAGATAAATGACAAAGTTACTAGATGTATTCTCAGCTTAAAAATCAATACACAAGAACTGTCTCATTGCTACCCTCGATTTTCCAGACGCAGAATCTAATTTCCCGAGGCAACCACGTGGTAACTAGCTTCACATCCTCCGCTGGTTTTCATCGCGCGCAAAAATTTCGCTGTTTCACGGCGCCTCATTCGCCACCCTCTCCGCTGAAAAGCTAGCTTTCTCTTGTCCACGCGATATCGTCAAAAAATATCGTCGTCCATCACCGATTGCGTGGATTTTTCGGCTGCGCCGACGAGAGCCGAAAAATCCGTTCGTCGACGCTTGGCTCCGATCTTCGCGGAGTTGAACATTTTCCGGGTACGTCTACGTTCCTTCCGTCGCTCGTAAACGCAGCCATGGTCAAGAATGGGCTGACCTCTCCCTGGAAGCCCGTAATGGATGATCTTATTTGCAGCTGACAGAACCTCGGTGCTCGGTGCCAGCGCCAGCGACCGCGCCGATTTCGCCGACCGGGGCAGATTTGTGGAAGCATGTGCTCTTGCCTAATCTCGAGATAAATGTCCCGGGATTCTTACTTGGATACGGCTTATGGCCGGAACACCGGCCGAATGTCATTAAGCGGCCGAAGCTCTTTCTCGGTTCAAAATGAAATTTGTTATCTTTTCGGCTTAAGCGGACTTCCGGCGGTCTCGCGATCCCGCACCTTCGGAGGACGTCTGCGATTTACGCGGACCAATTGCGTTACGTCATTACGTGCTCGATACATGCTGGAATTAGAAATGGTAGCTCGAATCGCAGATCATCCGAGGCTGTAATCATTTATTTATGGGACTAATGACTAGACTGCGGATCTTTGTGCAAAATAAAAATGTTCGAACTCAATTGCAAGAGGTTTGAAAGTACGTTAGAATCTCTACGGGATGTCCTAACAATGTCTCGCAATTTGGAAATGGAGGTACCTGAGGTTATTTGAAGTAACTTTTTCCTTAGCGAAAATGCAATCCGAGGCTTCGTTTACGAGTTATTAACGAAAAACAGTGACCAATGAGAGGCTGGATCAGCTGATGCGTGGCGGCCGAGCCAATGAGCGGAGCTGAGCTTCGTGCGCGCGTTGGCTGGTCCGCCACGCGCCAGCCGAGCTCGCCTCTTATTGGTCAGTGTTTTTCGTTAATAACTCGCAAACGAAGCCTCGGATTGCATTTTCGCTAAGGAAAAAGTTGCTTCAAATGACCTCAGGAACCCGTTATTTCGGGATTGCGAGACCTTTTGTGACACTCTGTATAATCTGAATGTATATTTTTGTAATATCTTGCTACAAAAACGTTCCATTGTCTAAAAATTTCATTCAAGGTCTCTGCTAAATCTAAATAACACGATGCTTAGATAATAGAATGTTTGGATACTAGAATATTGTAAAAATAAATGTCCGGATAAGGGAGTCCCTACTGCATTAAAAAGAGAATAGAATTTTTACTAGGCTCCCATTTCTTACAATTTTCATTTTTCATTTGCATTTTCATTAGATCGCGATTCGTTGAAACGATTTATTTTGCTGAATATCGATCTTCACTATTTTCTTAAGCTTATTCAGATTAGCTTCTCAGAAAATTTCGCGAATCCAGTATCAAAAAATTGAAACAATTTCTGCGGTATTTCAAGAACTTCCGTACTCTACATATTTAATTTCAACAAATAAATAATCGAATAAAATTTAAAGAAAAAAATCTGACACGCCTTCTACGATGCATATACAGTGAATTATGCTTGGAAATAAATCGAAAGGCGCAGCGATTGGTTACCCCACAGTAACTGGCTCCACAACCCTAGTCGCCAACGCGGTCGGAATGAAATCGCCGTCGATCGCAGACGTCCGACGCGTCGTTTCACGCGACGACCTTTGGCGAACGCTCGAAAAGCTTCGGAAAAGAGGAGAGGTGGTTGTGCGAGCAGGTGAAGGTCCGCGCCCGAGCCGGGAAAAATGCGCTCGCGAGTCCCTTGCCTCCCTCTTTTTCGAATCGTTTTGGCGCTCATGCGCCTGAGCGAGCCACGGACCTGTGAATGGGCCGACGACGCGAGGCGACGCCGACGCTCGACGACGCTCAACGACGCTCGGCGACGCTCGACGTACGAGCCGCGAGGGAAAGAGGACGAGCAGAGCGAAGTCAGTCTGGCCGCGCGCGCCCACGATCACTGTCGACCGGCGGTCTCACGTCGTTCACCTCGCGCCGGCGGGACGCGAGTTCGAATTTCAAACGTTCACCGCTGGGACGATCGTCCGTCCGTCGGTTCCGCGCGTATTTATAGCGTTCCGGCCGCTCCGGATTCCGCAAAACGCGCCCGGAACACGACGATCCAGCCGCCTGTCGATTTCGCGCGCGATTTCTTCCGAAGGAAATTTCGCCGGGGTCACGGTTCCATCGCCGGGGTCACAGTTCCGTCGCCCGGTCACAGTTTCGTCGGGGAACCCACGGAGCGGAGCTAGAAGAGAAATAGTTGTCCGCGCGTCTTCATATCTCCGATCCGGCGCGGCGATTGCGCGCCGCATTCTTGCACGCTCCTCTCACGTGGACCGACCTCGCGAATTTCAATTGCGAGATTCTAGCCCCGGCCGCCGGCGGAATGCTTTAATTTCTTCCGCGGTGGTGTTATCGCGATCAGAACGCCGACACCGGCCACTTTGCACACGGCCAGCAGGCGTCCCGCAGGAATGAGACTGCGGGTGTCGGTCGGCCTATCCCAGACGCCGCTGTCCGACTGCTCCTGAACACCGTCGACTCTCTGGAGCGTTGTTAAACGAAAACAGGACGATCAAGGTAAGCACGCGCGATTCCCGTGGAAACCGCGGAACGGCAATTTGCTGCTCGGCTCGCCGCGACTTCCTCCCATTGAGTCATTCGTCCCGTGCACATCTCCGAAATCGACCGAGATTTGCCAGCTTCTTGGAACACGGGGAACGCGAACCGAGCTTCCCGGTACAATTAGCCGACTTTTACGTAGCCGAGTTATAACGAACAGTTTTCTGATGCAACGGGAAATCGCTTGACCATTGGAGATTTCGGAATCATAATAACTTGGGTTTAACAGTAAACATACTGCGATATCTGACACGCGTTGCTTTCTTAGAATTTCGTTTTCGGATATAATTAGCTCTGTATTTATCGAATAAGACGTGTTAAATGTTTTTCTTCAAATGTAAACAAAATCATAGAATTTAATGTCATATTAGATAATTAGATGTTCTTTCAGTTTGTTTATTTTTTAACAAAAAGATTCGATACCTTATTCGATAAATATAAAGTTATTCTTTCAGTCTGTTTATTTCTGAATTAAAAAATTCGATACCTTATTGGATAAATATGAAGCTACTCTTTTAGTATGTTTCTTTCTGAATAAAAAAGTTTGATACATTTTATTTGATAAATATAAAGCTATTCTTTTAGTCTGTTTATTTCTGAATAAAAAGAATTTGATACATTTTATTTGATAAATATAAAGCTATTCTTTTAGTCTGTTTATTTCTGAATAAAAAGAATTTGATACATTTTATTTGATAAATATATAAAGCTATTCTTTTATTTTGTTTATTCTCGACAAAAGGAATTTAATAAATCTTTCTCGGCGAAGACAAAGTTATTCTTTCATTTGATGTGTCTTTTAATAAAAAAAATTAAATGTCCCATTCGATAAATTTAACGTTACTCTTTTATTTGGTTCGTTTTTTAATAATAAAAAAGGTAACCGGATCAACTTTTTCCATTCATAAAGGAAGAACCATCGAAATCGAAATCTGGAAATCAATCATCCTCCGCTTGAATAAAAAATGAAGCGGCGCGGTACATAACGCGCGAAGAAAGGAACCATTTCTCATGATCATTTTTCCGGAGCACACTTTCTCGATCTCTATCTGTAGGATTAGCCTAGATCAAGGAACGGCTGGAATCGAACGCGCTCCCGCGCGTCCGAAACGAACGGACGATTCGCGAGCGGGATCTCGGGCTCTAGATCAGCTGAAAGTGACTCGGCGCGATCATGGGGGCCGACTTTCGAAAAAGGTGATCTCGAATCTATGTCACATGGTGTTACATAGAGGATTTTAGGCACGCCTCGGGCTCGACGGTTGCGTCAACCGTAGACGCGGACCTCGGGCTATGCGTACGGTTTCTATTCGCCGGGGCATTTTCTAATTAATCGCCGCGCCGAATGGATAATGGACGATCGACATAATAGATCGATAAGTCCGGGACGCGTCGCTCGCCGAATAATTTATGAGACACTGTTTCCACCAGCTCGGGAGTGGTATATCTAGGAGTACGCTTCGTAACATAAATCGCCGAATTCCACGCGGAAAGTCTGTCGCCGGTGAAATAATAGCACATTTTCGGCATTGTTCACGGTTTTATTAAAAACGGAATGTTCGAGCGAACGTTTAGTGACAAAGCCTTGAAATACTTGCCGCGTAGGTACCTATTAAAAAACTTTTATTTTCTTTCCTGGCTTGCGTTGGTTATTATTGGATACTGCAGATTTTCTGCATTTATGACGGAAACGGATCGGTGCAATATGAAACAGCGACAAAATAAACGGAACTAAGAATGGCGAATGATCGAATGCCTATTTTCAAGGTAGGCGTTGTATGTTATTTCAAAAAACAGAACATTTCGTATGCATGAATAATGTGAACACTTGTTTGTGCATAGTTGAACTACGTATTTGATTTTGTACAGTTGTGAATATACTGTAACAACTAGACCGCGGATCTCTATGCAAAATAAACATTGTTTAATCAATTTAATCAGTCGAAAATAACAAAACGATATTATTAAATTCTTCCGTCTTTACGGTTTTACATTTAACCTCGTCAATTTGTCCTAAACGCGTGCAAACCTAGTTATTACACCGTGGATTATTGTGCATCATTTTTCTGCAAGGGACAAATCTCTGTTCAAATTTCATTTTTTGAGATCGGCGAAAGCAATTCTGATTTTGTAAGGAAAATTTAAAGATCAATGCTAATAAATTACAGGAACAATCGGTACATAACCCTAATTGTCCACGTAATCCTGTCACAATCTCAGGATCTTTTCTGATGCTGTTACGATAGTGCAATCCTGTCGATTTATTATAGTTGACGTTTAATTTTTTTTAAATAATCTCGGACTTTAAACTTAGGATCTCTCCTGTCGCTATTAGAATAGTGCAATGCAGTAATGTCTCTCTAATTGACGCTCAGTTTGCCCACAAAAATGGACAATTTGGAAAGAGCAGATACGATTATTCGTGCCTTGCAGCTCGTTTTTATAGTTGTTGACAATTCGTAACTATAAAAATGAGCCCCAAGGAAAACAAATAATCGTATCTTCTCTTCCAAAATTGTCCACTTTTGTCGACAATCTGAGCGTAAATTAGAGAGACATTACTGTACTTTTGGATTTTCTACAGGGTGTCCCAAAAATGTCTCGCAATCCGAAAGTGGCGGGTTCCTCAGGTCATTTGAAGCAACTTTTTCCTTTACAAAAATTTTCCCCGAGGCACCGTTAACGAATTATTAATGAAAAACAGTGACCAATGCGAGGCGAGCTCAGCCGGCGCGAGGCGACCGAGCCAATGAGCGGAACTGGGCTTCGTGCGCTGATTAGCTGCGCCGCCTCGCGTCAGCCGTACTCGATTCTTATTGGTCACTGTTTTTCGTTAATAACTCGTTAACGGTGCCTCGGAGGAAATTTTTGTAAAGGAAGAAGTTGCTTCAAATGATCCGAGGAACCCGCCATTTCCGTATTGCGAGACATTTTTGTTTGGGACACTCTCTATAAGAGTTGGACGTTCGATCTTCCAAACCTAATTTCAAACTTCAAACAACGCGACATAAGCGACCGCTCATTCCCAAACATTACTCGAAATATTCGATCGACAACGAATCAAAAGACGATGCCCCATTTATTACAGTTAGAAATTCCCAAGGTACTAAATCAATCTCCGGTGGCACAACGTGTCATCGATCCCCTAGAAATCGCAACAGCGCTCGCAGTGCGCGCTCTATTTTCGTGTTTATCGGACGGCCGGTTTATTTTCGTAGAGAGAGAGAGAGAGAGAGAGAGACTGGATCGTGGTCCAGAGGCTAGCCGACGGGCCACTGTTCGTTTCTATTCCGTGTCGCGACACCCGACGAGCACGATCCCACGCGTTTCGAAAGCAGCTCATCCGCCGGCGTGGGATCCTCTTAAAAATCGTCTCGTTCGTTTTCATCGGCCGCGGCGGAGCGTCTTTCCGTGTACGCGGCAAGCGCGATCGTTCCGCGGTTTTGTTCCTCGCGGTTTCATTTCGCCGAGCGATATCTCGGTTTCCGCGGGAATGTCGCCTCATCAGGAAAGTCTAGACCCGACGCCGAGGTAACTAGGCAGAAACTTCGCGCGTTTACGTCCACGACGCAATATCCGAACGCGGTTAACGGTCTCCTAACGCGAGTTTAACGCCTGTGTTTCCCGGGATCCGAATGAAACCGCGGTCGTCCCGCGACGATCGCGTTCGCCTTATCGCAGGGACCACCGATGCTCGCGGATCGGGGCACAGAACCAGCGTTGTCCGGAGCAGACCGCAAAATGGGAAAGCCGCGCGGAACACGCCGGGATAATTTCAATTAACCGAAGCGACGCGGCGGCACTCCGTGTCCGGAGACAAAATTACCCGTGTCCAATTTACGAAAACAATTTTTCTCCCCTCGTAAACGTCATCGCGGCTATCTCTCGAAGTCGGTTAATGCGTTCCCGAACCAGTCAGGGACGCCGCAGCGGTCCCCTCTGATTCCCCGACACCTTTCTCGATAAAATTTAATCGCGTCGGTCGATCGCGCGCCAGTGACAGGTGCCGCTCGCCGAATCTCGGGATTTTCGGGCTTGGCCCGGCCAACAGCTGGCCCCGGCACCGCGCACCACGAGCTGGCCCGCACCGCCGCGCAGCTCCACCCTACCCTAGCGTGATTTATCGGGCCGGGTCCGAGCCCGGTCCCGGACGGCACGTGGCAACAGTTGCGCCGCTCATTCACAACCGGCACGCACCGCGGCTAGGAGTCCTTTCCTCGTGTCCTCGATCTCCGACTCTCCGCTCCTCTCTCCCTTTTCTTTATTTTCGCGGCCGAGATCGCAGACCTTGCCTCTCTATTTTCTGTTCCGGCTGCTGGCCCGAGAGCGCACGGTTTTCGCCGGCCATGGGCCAATCGTGTCGAACGCGGCGTTTTAACCAGTTAACCCATCGACTGCCACGCAAATTTAGCGCGTCTTGCCCTGGGTGCCACGGTTTTATTTTAAAGGAAACATGAAGTTTTACAAAATGTAATAATATTAAGTTACTGATATAATATTGCAATGGCATTTACAGTATTTTTTTTTATTGATGATCAATATATGTTCTCTATACTATATACATTTTTCATTCATCCTTTTTCCAATAGTTCCTAACTCAAATAGCCATTTGTAGCCAATCTAAACTTGCAGCACCCACTACGAGATATCTCGTAGCTGGTAGTTTTGGTGCAGACGCTTACTACGAGATATCTCGTAGTTGACAGTCAATGGGTTAAGCACGTTTGTCGTCTATACACGTCAAAACGATTCTCTATTACGGCGCGTTCGACGTGTTTACTCGTCGTTAAAAGCATCAAATTACCATTGGCTATGAAAACTCGAAATTTTAATGAAATACAATAAGAATATTATTTGGTGGGATGTTCCCTTTATATTACCAATAGAACTGCTACGTATTTTAAACGGTGGGGGGGGGGGGAGAAGATGTTCCGAGAAATATCTCACCGAACTCAATT